GGTGATGCTGCTGATAATGATGATACTAGTGGTGGTGCTGCTGATGGATTCTAATGAGAACAGCAATGTTGCTGATGATGATACTAGTGGTGATGCTGATGATGATACTAGTGGTGCTGCTGCTGCTGATGATACTAGTGGTGATGCTGCTGATACTAGTGGTGATGCTGCTGATGATGATGATACTAGTGGTGGTGCTGCTGACGATTATAATGAGAGCAGCAATGTTGCTGATGATGATGATGCTAGTGATGCTGCTGCTGATGATACTAGTGGTGATGCTGCTGCTGATGATACTAGTGATGCTGCTGCTGATGATGATGACGATGGAGGCGGTGCTGCTGCTGATGACGCTGCTGATGATAACAATCATTTTGCTACTGCTGATGATTCCACTGCTACTGATGTTGATGCTAATGCTGCTGTTGCCGATGATGACGACAATAATAGCGATGCTGCTGCTGCTGCTGATGATGAAAATGCCAAAATGTGACGATTCTGCTGGTGTTGATGCCGATGTTGCTGCTGATACAGTACTAACAATGCCGATTCTAGTGATGATTATAATGGTGACGATTGTGCTGCTGATGCTGCCGCTTGCTGCTGCTGCTTACATAGACGTTGCCGTTCAATAAGTGAACTCACCACTTAGAGTCACCATCGCTCCAACCATTACACGGAGCATTGAGCCAGAACCCCCCCCCCCCCCCCACCACCACCACGGCCTCGATAAACAAAACAACAATGCCCGCGTGGCATTCCGTTTGACATTTGCACGAACAACGATTCCGTCGAGTTGAACCCTCGCGCTCTCCGGGCGGGCCAAAATTCCTTCTCCGCCGCGTCCCGCGTGGCCCCCGTCGCTTCCGCCGAGAATCCTGGGAGCCGTGAGGCAGCAGAGAGGGGGCGCGGTGCCCAAGACGCCCAGCGCGAATTGATGGCACACAACGAGAAGCATTGCCAAGAGGTTAATGTCTGAATGGAGGTCGGATAGGGTCGGGGTTTGTTTTTTTTTGCACGGGGCGATAACAGCTGTTTTCCGATTATCAGTTCAACAACAAACTATATGTGAACTTAATGGCGGTACCCCGGGGTTCAATAGTACCCCGGCTCTCGCACAATGTCCGTGATAAGGTCATTCTTAGTCTGTTGATGGTCGGCGATGCGGCAATCGAACTCATCTCAACGAGCTGTACACGATGCACCGCTACGGAGCGTACCGTGAGCGTTCAGGGTTTCGGCGCAATCGTCCTCGCTGCGTTTCGACATCGCGGAGTGGCACCACCGACTGAGGATTGATTGCTACCCCAGTCGCGGAGTTTAAGTAACACCCCTGGAAAAAAATTGCGTCCTAGAAATAAAATATTTAATTGCCTCGGCCATTTGGTATGATTTACTAACCCGGGTACCGCCATAAGGATCACGTCGCTTCGACAATGCCACTGACATTCCCATCGCAGGGTGGCGCAAGCGGGTGATTGCAGCGCTGCACCTTTACCACCTCTACCCGGGGCGAAGAGGTGGCACCGGGTAGCACCGCTGCAACTTATGAACTCGGCAACTCTCCAGAGTTCGATTCTCGGCCACGACTAACTTCAGTGGCGAGTGATAGCTGAACCGGTCCTGGGCCCTGTCCTCTCTCCTTTCGTTGTGCTCAGCGGCGTGGTGACGTATGACGCAATGATCGACGTGTGGTGGGGGGGGGGGGGCCTTTATCCATTAGTGAATTGACACATGGCTGTAAAACATGCCCCTTTATTTATCAAGGAAAGTATCACTGAGTCTCAGGAGTATTTCTGCATTAGCGCTGCCACAATGGGATGGTTGGCCAATTCCATTAAGGGAGTGTTTGACTTCACGTGGGAGGAAGCCGGGGAAACCAGAGGGAGGCCACCGCACACGCGATGGAATAAAACTCAAAACTCTGCACAGATAGATTCAAAAATCCACTGCTGCCATCTCTTGACCACGTCTCAGCAAGCAAGCTTACAACAACCCGGTGAAATTTAGCCAGTCTCCCATCTGTGTGATAATTATCAGATCCAACCCAGAGTAGCTGAAAAAATCCGATGACATTTGCTGCATTTGACGAGACATTGTCATGGGCGATTTGAAAGAAAAAAAACAGTTATACCATATTCTCTGAATTATAAGAGGCTCGTGGATGTAAGACGTGTCCCAAACTCGTGCCCGATGTTAATAACACCCACCGGATTATAAGGCGCGCCTCCAACTTTTGATTTAAATTAGCAGGCCGCATATCCGTTGGACGTGACCGTGTGCCCGTACCTCCAGCCAGCCAGTCAAACTTACACAAAATATATAATGGAGTATGAATACAAGGCTCGGGGTGGAATTTCTCGTGCTAAAATCCAGGGAAATACGGTATGTGTCAGCTCACAGATTCTGTTTGTGAAGGGGCATGGGTAGCTGACCCAAACTCACCCCTTGTGTCACCCCTTGTGTCACCCCTTTTCTCGGCACAGCAAAGTGGTATCTGAGCGGCAGCGTAATGGGCACTGTCCATGGTGCTGATTCTAGATGGGGATCGATATTGCCTCGCACTAAATGTGGTGTCTTATTCTTCGTACAACTGTTATGCTTTGCATTTTTCCGGGAAAAGAAACCTCGCTAAGTCTCGTGACTCCTTTTCAAGAGGGTCCTGCCAAGTTTCCGTAGTTGGGGGGGGGGGGGGTCGCATTATTAATATGTATGTTACAAATGAACAATTTATGGTAAATTGTTATAATTTGTCAAATGTGTATCGTGACGCAGGCACACAGTGGCTCACTCTTGCGAATGCGGCTCACGGGATGCATGTGCCAGATCTCGCCAGATTTCGCCAGATCTCGCCAGCTAAGGAAAATGTGATTATGGTTACTATGCGGATGGCTGCTTTGATGACGCTGATGATGATGGGTAAGATTATGGAATTTATTTGTGACGACGACGACGATGATGATGACGACGAAGTGGTTGAAGACGATGAACATTAAGGACGACTATTTACCGAATTTCGCAAAGTTTGATGTTATTGCATCCTAAACACGTGCACGCAGAATAAAAGCTGACAATGCTATTTCACAAACCGCACGGTGCATATCGTTGCTACCGCTGCTACGCGTTTGTACAACAAGACCGGCGGCACGACTGTTCGCACTGTGCTTTGAACCCGGCGACCTCAGATCGATTCCCGGCCACGGGTGACATCAGTGGAGCGTGAAAGGTTGGCTACGTACGGTGCGAAAGGAGTTCATCGTACAGTACATACATTTCCCCTTCACCACCCGCACCCACTTCCCCTTAACCAACCCGTACTGACCAACGAGGTGAAGTATGGTTTAAAATCGCCTCCTCGAGCCGCATGCCGCGTGGAGCAGACCTGCACTGCAACAACAGCAGATGCAGGCCGCGCACGTGCGAAGAGCAGCAATGGCTGATGATGATGATGGTGGTGATGACGATGATGGTGACGTCCTACATTGACGACTATGACGTAGAGCGTTACAGGATTAATCACGTGAAGAATCAGAATCAGAATATATTTAAACTGGAGGAATCCGATGAGCTATGAAGGGTTTTGTTTTCACAGATGGCTGGTAGGGGCGGGTCAGACACGTTACAACAACAACACAACAACATAGGAAAGGTAAGCAAATCGCTTAAATGTATAATGATGTTCATCCAAATATCACACTTTAATAGAACATTGCAACTTGCATGCACGACACATTATTCTGTGTGTGTATATAATAAACTGTACGGCACAGCAGCGCGTATTAACTCGTATTTATTGCGCCGTTAACAGCGCCGTCTGTTGCTGGCCGCTTGGCGTTTTTGGGGCTGCGCTCAGCAAAAAGAAGAAGAAAAAACGAGATTGAATAATTTAATAAATACAATACGAGCACGGGGAACAGTGGCAATGATTTCGGAAAAACTGCGTTGGCGGTGGTGTGCAGGAGCACACGTAACAGCAACAACAACCTTCACTATACACATACTGCGGCTTTAAAATAAAAAAAAACAATATATATACAAACATCCAGGGTAACCACGACGTCCCTTTGCATGAAAGAACAACGAGAATCTACCTCCTCCATTGGAACGCCTCCGCGTGTTTGCCGTCCGCTGGATCGGTGTCCGAGTTTCCCCCTTGCGCCACGTGTCCTCCTCCGAGCGGGACGAGAGGCGCTGCTGTGCCGGCGACATCAGGGAGCAGGAGCGGCTGCTCCGAGTCGCACGCGTGTTCGCCAAACCGCTTTAAGATCGTGCGAAGCGTCCCTCCGCTGGCCACGGCGCAGATCGGATCCTCTCCCAAATCAATCCCCGCACGGAAATTCCTGGACTCGAATAATTCACGATTTTGCGAGGGGCATAAACGCGCCCTGGAGGCCCCCAGCCTTGCTGGCAGGATGCATGGATTTGCGACGGGATTTTGCGGCCATCCCTGTATAATGCGGGACGTTTCGGGCGATGACCCTTGCTCATTGCACGTAGGATAGGGAGGGCCGGAGAGAGAGACCGTCGTCGATAAGACTTGTTGGAGGCTGCTCGACTGATGGCATCGCGAGGGATAGCTTGCGAGAGGGACTTACTTAAGGCAATGAACACTGTTATTGTGTCTGCCCGCGCAGCTGTGCACCACCCGGTAATGGTTCGGCCGTCAAGGCCTCGCATTAATGAAACCATTTAAATGCAAAACGCCGCTCTGACATTCTGCTGCTGCTGTTTGTTGTTATCAAGGTGCATTACCGCGTGTCTGCTCCAGAGCTACAAAACGCCACTGTCCGCTTTGGAAATCCGCGGTAGCGTAAAGCAATGCGGACAATTGTGGTGGCGGTGGTGGCTGTGGTGGCAGTGGTGGCGGCGGCGGTGGCGGTGGCGGTGGTGGTGGTGGTGGCTGTGGTGGCGGCGGTGGTGGTGGTAGTGGCGGTGGTGGCTGTGGTGACAGCGGTGGCGACAGCGGTGGCTTTTGTGGTGGTGGTTGTGGCGGCGGTGGTGGTGGCTGTGGTGGCGGTGGTGGCGGTGGCGGCGGTGGTGGTGGCGGTGGCGGCGGTGGTGGCGGTGGTGGCGGTGGTGGTGGCGGTGGCGGCGGTGGTGGTGGCTGTGGCGGCGGTGGTGGCGGTGGTGGCGGTGGTGGCTGTGGCGGCGGTGGTGGCGGTGGTGGTGGCGGTGGTGGTGGCGGTGGTGGCGGTGGTGGCTGTGGCGGCGGTGGTGGTGGTGGCGGTGGTGGCGGTGGTGGTGGCGGTGGTGGCGGTGGTGGTGGCGGTGGTGGCGGTGGTGGCTGTGGCGGCGGTGGTGGTGGTGGCGGTGGTGGCGGTGGTGGCTGTGGCGGCGGTGGTGGTGGTGGCGGTGGTGGCGGTGGTGGTGGCGGTGGTGGCGGTGGTGGCTGTGGCGGCGGTGGTGGTGGTGGCGGTGGTGGCGGTGGTGGCTGTGGCGGCGGTGGTGGTGGTGGCGGTGGTGGCGGTGGTGGTGGCTGTGGCGGCGGTGGTGGTGGCGGTGGCGGCGGTGGTGGTGGCGGTGGTGGTGGCGGTGGTGGTGGCGGTGGTGGCGGTGGTGGTGGTGGTGGTGGTGGCGGTGGTGGAGGTCGCAAGCGTCCGGACACAGCGGCCGGTCTCAAAAGTCTGCATCTGCGTCGATCCCCGTCGCCGAATGGCTCCGACAGAGACCGGCAAAGTGAGTCCATAGTTTCCCGGCATTGATTGCTGGATCCCGTCATTGGACTTCTCGGCCACCACCAAACCCCGATGGACGTCATCCGCGAATCCCGAGGGACTGCCGATGACGACGACTGCTGCTGCTGCAACTCAGCACTGTTCAGGAATCCGCTCGTCCAGAATGCAACTGCTCGAGTGCTCGCGCGCACGCCAGCAGCAGCGTAACTCACGTGGGTGCGAGCGGGCAGGGGGTGCCTTTGCCCCCCCCCCACACCGTCCCCTGGTGGGCAAAGCTACGAGTTGGCAGCCCCCTTGACAAGCACCAAAAACAACAAAAGTGTCAAAGAAATAAAAACGTATTTTTAGCGACGAGCGGAGCGCCTCCCGCAGCGTTAAATGTCCGAGACAGTGAGCGTGACGACGATGTGGATTAAGGCAAGATAAGGCGCGATGTATAAACATCTTCCTCTAGCTGTGACCGTGCGAGACAACTCACAATATTAGGGGGGGGGGCTCCACCTGACCGATTGCCCCCCCCCTCCCCTGAGCTGATTAATGTCGCCACGACGCAACTAGCGCACGCACCGTTCCGCGAGCACATCACACGCCTCAATATCACGTCTCTACATTGGCTACCAGTGAAATATCGAGCGGATTACAAGATCCTGCTGCTGCTGTTGCTGCTGACCTACTACAAGGCACTCGATGGGTTAGATCCGCAACGTTGGCGAGAATTCATTCATCTTTATACTCCGACGACGTCCCAGAGACCTTGGGCTCTTCGGCTCGTCTTCCGCCCCGTGCCGATCGGGCTCTTGTCACTGTGCAGCTCCCGCACTGTGGAACAACGCGCCCCTGACTTTGGCAATGAGACAATCGGAGTCGTTAGAGCGGTCTAAGTCCCGTCCTGAAAACTCCCATCACTTTGTTATTAACACCACGAGCCTGATTTTACGTCGCCTCGACCCCGCACTTACGTCGCTCACAGCATCACCGTCTGTCCAAACTCGTTACCCGTCGCCGCTCAGCCTTCGCCTCCACCACCTGCACCCATCGCTTCGATCGACGCCGTTTCGATATTCGTCATCGCGCCCTTCCATGAACGCATCGGCGACGTAAAGCCGGGGGTAGCAACGTCATCCGACGTTGTTATGCGGCGATAAACGTCGTGGGTGCCACGCGCGAGAGGGTGCCACGTCCACGGCTGTATCCGTACTTCTATGCGCCCACAGTCGCGTGTGCCGCCCGCCGCCGACACCGCCGCGCCACGTGGCGGCGTGATGAAGTGAGGTCAGAGAACGCGCGGCGCTGGAGGCGAGGCCGTCGTATCCCGACGGCGCACCGACTCGAGATCCGCGCGTGGTCCGAATGCGTTCGGGACGGAGAGAGTTTGCGCGGACAAATTCGTGGATGAGAAGCAAAGCGATGGCGGTCGTTACCCAGATTGATCCACCGCATGAATCTGAAGAGTGGGTTTAAACAAATAGATAGATATATACACACACTATTGGGGCCCCTATCATGTGGACCGAGTGCTCTTGCCAATAACAGGCAGCGGTAATTGTGCAGCGAGAGAGTCTTGACTGCCGCTGTCAGATCCGAGGCGTGAGGGGTCGACACCCGAGGCAGAGCTTTCTGGCTGATAAATAAACGCCGATGGAAAATATTGCTCTGGACAGCCGACAAGGCTCGTACTTTCAAACACACATATATGTGTGCGGTACAATGTATGTGGAGAGACGAGGTGGGGGCAATTTATTTACGTCCGCAACGTAACGCATAATTGCATCACCACCACCACCACCACCATCATCATCATTCTAGCAATTCGACATCATTACCCACAACATCGTCTTTACGACCACACTTAATGATTGATGCAACACGTCATCGCTATGATGCTCATCCTTGCTACACATCATCATCATCATTTTTCTCCCCCCACATGGATGAACGCCCATTAGCGGAGTTGGGTTAATATGCCAATACAGGACGGCAGAGCTTGCGTAAAACGATCGTCGGTGCTGGTTCTGGCTGCCTTGCCGCTTTGTGTGTGTGAGTGTGTGCGCGTGCGTGTGTGTGTGCGCGTGTGTGTGTGTGCGTGTGTGAGTGTGTGTGTGCGTGTGTGTGTGAGTGTGTGCGCGTGAGTGTGTGTGTGCGTGTGTGTGCGCATGTGCGTGTGCTCGTGTGTGCGTGTGTGTGCGTGCGTGTGTGAGTGTGTGTGTGCGTGTGTGTGCGCATGTGCGTGTGCTCGTGTGTGCGTGTGTGTGCGTGCGTGTGTGCGCGTGTGTGTGCGTGTGTGTGCGTGTGTGCGTGTGTGTGTGCGTGTGTGTGGCTGTTTCCCCTGCGCCTCCCCGATGCGATAAAATATCCACATTAGAGAAAAAACATTTAGCAGCTTGAGTAATTTTTTGTTCAATGCGTCATATATCGCGTACTTTTCTGTCTCCTCCTTTAAGGCCAAGATCAATACCCCGGCCAGCCGCCACTCAGTGACGGTGACGTCACCACGGCGCTTGTGCCAGGCTAGGTGCAGGAGGAGGTCTCGAGACAGACCCAGCAGGTGCCATGGGTTGGCTGACTAATATGACCGGTAGATGCACCACCAGCTGTATCCCCTGCTGTGCCAGGCTAGGTGCAGGAGGAGGTCTCGAGACAGACCCAGCAGGTGCCATGGGTTGGCTGACTGAGATGCCCACTGGTAGATGCACCACCAGCTGTACCCCCTCCCCTACTGTGTCAACTTGCTGCGTATAAGGCCGCTCCTCTGCCCCCCGTTGTTGCTGGAGGTCGACTGCCTCCGACTGCCCAGCAGCAGCAGCGTCCTTCACGAGCCTCCTTCCATAGTGGCCGACTTGGCAGCATTTAATGCCACACAGACACACAGGATTGTTGACAAATGTGTTGATGTTGGTGTTGTTACCTGTGCTTGTGCATCACTGCAGCAGAATCACTAAATACAAAGGTTATTTTGGGTTTTTTTTTATTTCAATATCGCATTTTATATTCATCATCACCATCATGATCGCCGTACTCGTTAAGTATCAACACAAATGTCGTCATCGCGGCTTTAACTGCGGCGCGTACATTGCCATTACCGTGAAATCATCGCTCACACACTGCACGCAGTTTACTGCGCAGTCACAGAATCTATTCCTTGTTGCCAGCTGGGTTCGCTGTTGCCGTTAATTAGGGCGATGAGAAGTAGGGTACTTTAAGAATTGCTGTGTACGAAACATATACACGGCGTAATATGGACGTGTCAAAATGTATAATTGAGACGCTCTGACCTGATGATGATTATTGTTGTTGTTGTTGTTTTCTGCTGTGTGCAATGCGAGCTTCCGCAGATTTCTCTGAGCACGAGCGAATTTTTTATTTCGAGATGTGAGTCAGCCGGCCGGGCGAGAAACGACAGCGGCCACAACCCCCGCACCCTTCTCCCCCCCCCCCGAGTTACCCCCTCCACTGAGTACCCCCCTCGCCACCCCCTTCAAACTCCACACGCCACCCCCCACGCTCACCCCGACACACACCCTACAAGACAAAGACCCCCCCCCCACCGTAGAGCCTTAACAGACTGGTGGGGCAAGTGCTGTTTGCGAGTAGCACCTATTAAGGCCGGCATGGCACACGAGGGGATGGGTGGCCAGCACCACGCCCGGCCGCCTTTGTTTCCCCAGTGGCGATGTTTACGCACTGCCGCACCGGGTACTAATTGTAGGCTGAGTCGACATAGGGGAGGCCCCCCACACCCCCCTCCCTACCAACCCCGCACACCCACACACAAAACGTACCAAAACAAAAGACAAAGACACAGATGCCCTATGTAGCCTCCGCACGCTGCTTGGGGCAATTGATGTTTGCGAGTGAGCCGATGAATGCTGGCAAGGCGCACGAGGTGACCAGCCAGCACTACGCTCGGCCGTGGTTTCAAGAGCGAGAAGACGCTGACTCTTTCCAAAGGTGGCCACTCTCTGCAAACTTGGAGGTTGCATTGGTGGTGATGCTCCTGCTGCTGCTGGTGCTGCTGCTGCGTTACAACACGTGTGTACAAGGACAACCAATAATGACTCATTCTAAGAGCTCAACACTTCCTCAATAACACAGGGAAAAAACCCCCAATATAATAGGCGACGTTTCGGGTAAGGGTCCTTCTCCGTGTGCTATTGAGAAGAAGGGCCGTTTTCCGAATCGTCACCAATTATGTATGATTATATTATCCTGCATTGTAAGGCAGTGTCATTGATTGACGAATACGTTTAGGGGTTTAGTTGTTGTTAGCTCTGCTTCTGCACCACTACCAACGCAGCAGCATCACCACCAAATAGGTTTAGATTCAATCGAAACTAAACCAATTTTATTTTATTTTACCAGGTTAGGGACCACTGAGCTATATAGCTCGAAGAAGCGACCTGGCCACATATGATCGCTCAATGAAGTGGCTTTTCATAACGCGGGGCTAAACCGAAGGACCCAGAGAAAAATCCACGCGACCACGGTGAGAGAGAGAGAGAGACGCAAACTCCAAATATACTGCAAGCGTCAGGGTCGGGATCGAACCCACGACCTCCAGGCGAGGGAGTTAACATCTCCTAGCCACCGTGATGATGATAAGAGAGATACACGCAAACTCCAAATATACTGCAAGTGTCAGGGTCGGGATCGAACCCACGACCTCCTGCAGACCAGGCGAGGAAGTTAACATCTCCTAGTCACCCTGATGATGATGATGATGATGAGAGAGATACACGCAAACTCCAAATATACCGCAAGCGTCAGGGTCGGGATCGAACCCACGACCTCCTACATACCAGGCGAGGGAGTTAACATCTCCTAGCCACCGTGATGATGATAAGAGAGATACACGCAAACTCCAAATATACAGCAGCAGGCGTCAGGGTCCGGATCGAACCTACGACCTCCTACAGACCAGGCGAGGGAGTTAACATCTCCTAGCCACCGCGGCGCCCACAAATCACTGGGGGTGCGCCCAGGAAGTGGGGACTCAACCCAGAGCGAACATTTCCCCTTTGCACTAAAATACAAAAAACGCGTTTCAGCCCGAACAGCAGCTGGCTTCCACAGCCGCGAATTAAACACCAACGCACATGTATGGAAAAACAGCGTTTCGGAATCCGTGCGTGTTCACGGAGTTTTTATTACACGCTTTCTTTTAACTCACTCTGTTGTTGTTGTTGTATCCTCAAATCTTGTAACTCAATTTTAACCCACTTCCCAATGTGGTATCGACTGCAAACTTGGTATACTTATGTCATACTGATGACAATACTATATTCTATCATAAAAATATATATTTTTAAACATAATTTTTTACATGTTATGTTTCGGCTTGGGTCTAATTGTCCACGGTCAACTGACGTTGGCTGTAATTGGCCACGGTCCCTTGCGTTATGGCAAGATTCGGGGTCACTTCATTGGAGTCGTGGAGTTCTGCCATTACTATTACGGTACATTTCATAAAAGCGTGTTTTCTCAATTTTTTTTATATTACTTATTTCTTCTCCATTTCTCCCCCTGCCCCCAATCTCAAGTCGGGCGTGAGTGCGCCACCACGCCAGTTCGCACGAACACCGCCTATGTCAACGGGAAGGCGTTTGTTGAACAAACCAAGGTTGTTGTAAAACAACGGTGGCGCTCTATCACGCGACTTCCTCTGATCAATGGATCAGCTCCCATGGGCCCTTCTCTAAGACTCTGTAGTGGCTCTGTTATACCCTTGCATCACACCATTGCATCATGTCAATACATCATACTCTTGCAGTATACCCATGCATCATGTGTCATGCATCATACTCATGCATCACACCATTGCATCATGTCCATGCATCATACACATGCACCATAGCCATGCACCATACCCATGCATCATGCCCATGCATCATACTCATGCATCATGCCCATGCATCATACCCATGCATCATACCCATGCACAATACCCATGTATCACATCTATGTACCATACTCATGCATCATACTCATGCATCATGCCCATGCATCATACCAGTACATCATACCCATGCATCATACCCATGCATCATACTCATGCATCATGCCCATGCATCATGCCCATGCATCATACCCATGCATCATACTCATGCATCATGCCCATGCACCATACTCATGCATCATACCCATGCATCATGCCGATGCGTGGGTTTGATGCTCTGTGAGGCAGTGACGCCGGTGGCACAATCGGGAGTCAGAATCCGAATGTTTATTTATTTAAACTGGAAGAATCCGATGAGCTGTAAAGCTCTTTCTCACA